CAGTTTTCCAGTGAGATTCCTGTGCTCTGGGAGCACTGATCTTGGGGTTACCCAGCGCCTCAGTTCAGTAGCTAGGAGGTGGTGTTTGAGAGATTTCACACAACCCTGTAATTCAGTAGAGTAGCATCATAAACCATGAACAACCCTTATAACAGCAGAATTCAGGATCTAGGAAGTTCAGCTCCTGTCCTTTACAGGATAGTAAGAGTGCAGTTGCAATGTACTAGCATGTAAGGGGTTAGCATATCATTTAATCAAAGAAAAAATGTCTCCACATTATTCCAACAAGTAAAGTTTAAAGGTCTTAAGTTTGCTTGTAAACAGGACAGTGATCCCCACCCTAACATAAACATTGACCTAAGTGAGATTTGCATAATCTCTTTGGCCCTCAATCTGCTCACCTTAATCAACCACATCATTATTTAGAGAAATGTGCCTCCATGTGCCTGGTTTCTTGCCTACTTCTCACTGCTCATTAACCAAAAATCAACAGAAAATGTTCTTTTTTGATGTACCAAAGACTCTGAGTAAATAGCTTTCCTAGAACACAGAGGTTCTCAAACTTTGCCTGGGTGTGACTATGTTTCAATAAAAAGCTTATCCCATTGTAAAACCAAAACCCCCACCTCCCTTATGCATCAACTACTGTATCTGACTGCACATAACTTTTGACAGTCTTTTGGCTTAGCAAGGAACAAAGGGGACTCCAAGCACCCATGAAGCCCTTTCACGGGAGACCACCAGCAGGTACTTACTGAAGCATGGTTTTAAAACACTTTATGCTCAGAAACGCCAGTACAGTGAGAGTACTTGACTAGCTTCACCCATGCTCTTTTCCTAGCGCTTCTGCTGACTTAACACAATAAGAAGCAAATCATCATGGTAGCACCTAGTTTTAGTTTGCTGATTTGTAAAATGGCCGTAATAGTATCTCTCCCTCTGCACAATTTTGAAGTATCAAGCTCCATGCTACTCGTGTCAATGAAAACAGGAGGCTGCTTAGGCAACTGTACTCATTTTTGCATTTCTGATATTTAGACACACTTCTTCGTGTTGATATTCCAGTCTCTCCCTCTAACTGTCACCATCTGACAGACATATTTGAGCAGGGGTGTATTTATTGTCACTCAAGAAATACCTTCTTTATTCCTAAAAGGTTGTCAAGGGTACAGCTACATAAGGTGACTGAACTGACCTAACAGCTCATGGATGCCAAAAGTAAGACTCTTGTTCTTCACCTTCCCCCTTGCGGCACTAATCCTGGATGCACGCACCTTTGGGTAACACTTTGTCTTAACAGGTTTAGAGAAATGAGAATGGACATTGGCACAGACGAGCATCAGCCTGGCACTGGCTCTTGCTGTTACTAGCAGCTTTGGTCTTATCTTTGTACTAACTCCTGTAGCTCCTAAGACACTAGATCAAACCGGTAGTATTGGATGGTGATGACAAGTGTACGGAATGCTCAATTCAGTTCTCACTCCAGTGCCCAAATCAGCAATAGACTCCAGGTCACTGACTTTCTTCCTAATTGATTTTTTTCCAAGGATTAAACATCTGTGTACAAACGTGAAAGTTCTTTAATGCTCTTCCAAATTTTGGACAGTCTTGCATAATCATTTCACAATATTTATAGTGGCAGCTTGTGTTCCACCTCAGGCTGCTGCTCTTATCTCCTGCTTCCACAGCAATCATGAGGTAAAAGGAAAGATGGAGTGGAAACTATTTTGGCACATATATACATTTTTTCAATGTGCTAAGAAAACCTTTATCTTTCTTCCCTTCATTGTAGCTAATGTGTCAAAAGAAGGGATATTCAAGAATACTGTAAGAGCCTGTATTGATAGGAGGGGAGTACAGCGTGTCCTGTATTTCAATATTGGAAAAATATTTGTTGCACACAATTTTCTAATAAGCAAGCTTTTTTGTCTAAACATAGCTATACATAGGTGGTAGAAAAAGCAGTAGGAAAACCATATTGAGAAGGTAACCATCAAATGTTTACTGCTAAAATGGAAGCCTGTACTGAGTCAGCATTTTGCACTGGTTAAATTCCTATTTAACCTATTTTCATTATGTCCTGGACAGAATGCATTTTTCATTATGACTCAAGAAACTAATAGAGAGCATGCATATGAGATTTACAACTGACACTAATCTGGGAAGGCCTGTAAAATAATTGAGAACAAACTCGGATTAAGAAAAAAAAAAGATGTGAAAAATGTAACAGAAACCAAAGCAGAACATGCTAGTCATTACAGTGATCCACGTTGCATCCACGTACTGAATATTATACCTAATTCTACTCCCCATCTTCAAAATGGATACAGTAGAACTGGAAAAGATTCAGAGACCATTGACACAGATGACCAAAAACATGGGATGTGTCTGTGTGAAGCTTTTTTACAGACAGGGAAAGACCTTTCAGTCTGAAAAAGAACTGGCTGAGGAAGGATATATCAGTGACCTAGAAAATTCTGAGTCGCATGAAAAAGGTGAATAGCGAATGATTATTTGTCCTCTTTCAAAGAAAGACCCATGCAGCAAAAATGGAATTTTGGGTCAGAATAAGCAAAAGGAGATAATTTTTAACACAATGATTAGTTGAGCTGTGGAGCTCTTTCCCACAGAATGTTTTGCATGCCAGAAGCTGACACTGTTCGAAAACTGATTAATCAAAAGAGAGTTAATTCAAAGATATTAAATATAGCAAAGATACCGCCATCTACTTCATATCATGGAGTCAAACTGCTGCAGGCAGAATACCCCCTCATGATTCTTGTTCTCAGATTTTTCCACAGGTATTTTCTATCGGTTATACTTCTATAGCTACAATCAAAGCTGACAGTTCTTGCTTTCTGATCAGTGCACATTGCTGCTTAAGCTACTGACCATTGCCAAGAGCAGGATACCTGACCTGAGCAATGTTTAGTTTGACCCAGTATGGCTGCTCACACCTTCTTTTGATTATATGAATACCTTATTTATGTTAGTCAGATGAAAAGTCTCTTGGTCCTAAAAGAGGTCCGCTCTGGTCTAACTCATTCTCATTTTCTCTTCATGCCTGGGACGAGGCATGTTCACCCCTGTGTTTCTAATTAAAAAAATATTTTGCTCAAACAGTATATATAGATGAAGACTCAAATTGCATTTCTATAGCTTCTGTGAGTTAGGATATGTCAACCTATTCAGTGCTTCCTCATTGGATAATTATTCTGATTTTGGTCAGTACGTTTAGGTGCTTATCATACTGATGTACTCATGTACCCGACCAGACTACTAGGAGGCTAAAAACATTTTTGACTGTCAAGTGATCTAACACCCCTTGAGTGGAAGGCCACAAAAGCAGACAGATACATGGTGAGACTCTCCCTGAACTTTTAGTACCACATTTACAGCAGGGACAGTCAATCAGACTGCAACTCATTCCTCTTCAAAAGACTGCTGTCCTTCCAAATTTTGCAGTGCATCAGCAAGGATAAAAACCCTTTTTAGTAGACATCAGTTGCAGCATTATGAGAGAACATGATATGGATTGATGTATATGTAGAACAGTGATGCTTATTGTTTGTAAGATGATGGTTGAGTTCTTTGTATGCTTTTAAGGTTGCAAAACACCCAGAAAATCAAGATGTTACATAGTTGTTTAACTGCTAAAATCCATGTGACAAAGCTTTTGACAATGCCATCAACACATAGGATTTGGAATATGCTCATAGGCACCAAACACATTCAGTGACTTTGAGAAGACTCAGCATGAGTCTCAGCATGGAGATTTATGCAAATGCTGCAATTGGAAGAGAAAAGACTTCAATTTTTTTTTTTTTTAAGCTAGTTAGTATACTTACTAGCTGGTATTACTGCCAGAGTATGCTGACAGCTGATCTACTAAAACAGAAGTTAAGAATTCTAGACCATGAAAATGGAAAGTATTTAAGGTGCAAATCGAAAAACCATGAAATACTGAAATATTTCAGACAATGTCACATTGACAGATAAGTTAAATAAATAATTTAGTAAGTTCTATGACCCTAATTACTTCAACTTATGCATACTATTAATCCCTCTAATCAATCAAATTAAAGACTAAAGCAGTCACGTGTTTGTACACAAAGTGCCCTGCTGATGTGAGTTTTAACAATGCAGCTCAACAGAATGCTGGGATCAGTCAGAACTCAGCGACTGTTACGTAGCTGGTAAGCACAAAAGGTCTGTAAACTCACCTGCTTGCTGTTTTTGAGGTAAATGTTATATTGCCCAAGATAAATAGTGTTCATGCGCCATTACCTGTGTTTCTCTTGCAGTGTTTAGTGCTTCGCAGATGAGGCTCTTCCTTTGCAAAATGTCCACTCCTAAAAGACAAGCTCACAGTATTTTGCACGACACGTAACAGGAAAAATATTCATCCTTCATCTTTGTTTCTTCCTCATTAGGAAATACTCAGGAAAACTTTGGGGAAAAAAATAAGATTTAACATCATTGTATTTATTAGGTTCCGAAACAATACACATTCACATCCTTTTGAATACAGTACATTTGGCACAGTAATAATGTTTACGATGAAATAACACTAATGAATGGCAAAAGATTCAAATTACATCCATAAGAAAAAAAATTCTGTACAAATAAATCCTCACAATAAAAAAAAACCCCTACCCCCCCAAACTGAATACATTTTATAGTTAGCCAGAACTATTCTGCACATAATTTAAAAAGAGGTAATTTGTAAGCCTTTTTTTGGAGAGAATTATTTTTCACCCTCTGGAGAAAAATGTGTTTCCATTTTTTTATAAAGTCTATTTGGGAGGAAAACCAAGAAACAATGGATTCTTTATAATTATTATTATTATTAATAATCTTTTTGGCATTTTGCACTCATTCTACAAAGAAGAAACAGGAAAGATATTACAGAACAGGCAGAAATGTAACAGAATGTCCATTTTTAAGAATTATCTTTAAAAAATGTTCAAGGTAACAGACAAACCTTCTGATGTAAACCCAATGCAGAGGATCTAACTATTTATATTGAAGAAATATCTGCCCATGCAAAAGTTTTTTTTCTCCTTGACTTTTCTCTTAGCTTCCTACCAAACTTTGCAGGTGCTGAGGCCTCTTGAAATACAAACATTTGCAAATTGTCTTCACGTTAGAAACAGGAATACAGACTACATAACTTGCTTAAGAGAAGCTTTATGGGATGCTTTTATTCCTTCAAAATAAATGCTTAGAGTATTGTGTAAAGGCCTCTTGTTGTACAAACAGTAGTGCACTATCTGATAACTTATGTTCCTAGCCAGTCTACTCACCTATGGAAAAGAACGCGTTAGCACTGTGATCAGTTCTTGCCTGGATGCCAAAAGCTAACCGTGATGAGAAATAAACAGAGCCAGTGGCGAGACACAAATTGATGGGCAGTTCTACAATATATTTCTAAAAGAGAAAGAAATTTAAACACTGAGATGATGCAATCATTAAGATGTTTCTGTGCTGGTACTCAGTTCCAGAAGCTAGTCTTTTCCCAGTACAAAAGATTACTGAAGATAAATTAAATTAAACTAGAGGCTTGATCCATTATTACACCTGTAGGCCAGACAACACATTAATTGATATATCATAATATTTAATATTTTGAAATCATCATAAGAATATATATAATAATTACACCTGAGTTTTAAAAACAAAACAAAATGGAACTGAATGTTGTCATCAGTGACAGGCTATGAGCAGCCAGACGCAAAACTGACACAAACTCATCTGCTTGAGACCGAGATTATCTCTTAAAGCCAATGATTCACACTTTGTCCACCACGATTTGTAACATTCCTTTCTCTTTCCGAGCTCTATCATGTCATAATAGAGGTGAAGAGAACTATACAAGAGATTTAGTATAGCTTAATATATGTCTACATCTTATAACAAAAACCTCATCTCTCTGACAGTAACTTGAACCAATACACATACAAGAGTATTGCACATGGACATTATTATAATTATTCTTTCATAGACTAACATTTTAATAGTATGCCTGAACATGCAGCAGTTGATACCTCTATATTCAATGAATTCCACAGGCCTTGCAGCAAACACTATATACAAAATCTCACCTGTACAAAAGGCAAAAAAGCTTTAGTGCCACTTTGCCAATCACAAGTATATATATTTTTGTGCAGCTGGAAATCCATGTGCAACAATTAAAATGGATTCCAATGACCGCTCACTCAGTCCAGTAAAATATATAATAAAATGACCTCAGCGATACATGTACACAAAAAAAAAAACCAAACCCAAAACCAACAAACCACAGGGTACTCCTGGAAATATAAGTACATAACACTGTTAGCGTATCTACAGGAGGTAACTTCACATTAGTAATATTGTCCACATGAGTTACCATTTCAATTCATACACAAAAAAATTCAATTTACAACTTTCAATAATGTCAGTTTGTGAATGTTTGATCTTCAGTTTTTTAACACACTTCCACATAATGCACGTGTAGCCTTATTTTGTGTCTTCTAAAAGCAGATTTCTCTTTAGATTTTAAACATAAAAAACAACAAACACAGTAGTATTATGGTTTTGTAAAAGTGTGCAAAAGTAACACACTGCTGAGAAAATAAATATAAATAAGAAATTACTTATCAACTTAGCTGCAATGGAAAAGGCAAATTTATAATGTTTATAATTAATTTTTCACATAAAATTAACTGTAAACATTTGCAAGCTTGCCGTCATTTTAATGGTTCATTTAGATGAATATTAAATTTGGTAACATGGATAGTACACCCAATTGCCTGAAAAACTGTAAAATGCCTATATATAACTGTGTTAAAGTACTATAGGCTTTTTATTCTTTAGCCCTTTAATAACTATCCATATATTATCTATTTTCTGCTTTAAATAAAATTTCAGTTATCTTCTTATTCCTAAGAGTTTTCCATAAATTGTATGAGGAACTTCATCAAAAGCCTTAATTGATGCTCTTCTTTTTCTGGACAGCTTTATTTTAAGTTTCTACCTCACCACAATAAATCCATAACTGGAGATTACACCTCCGTGAAGGCAGACTTCTTTGCTTACCAAAGGGCAACATACTACTTTTTTGTTCCACATCTGAATGCAGATCTCACCATAACCACCAGCGCAGAAGAAACAGTTCTCACCTTCTCAGCTTAAATACATATGACGATTACAGAACGTGATCTGCTAAATTGCTTTTAATAGCACAGCTTCATTTTCCATGGAAAAGATGCAATTTTGTCCTCTGAGGAGATCTTAGGAATAAAAGAAAAGTTGCAAATGTGTTGTTGGCAGTGTGTTACATCTACAATTTCTGATACAAAATTATTTTGCATTGCTTTGTGAGACAGAAATTAAGAGTGCTTTCAGGTCAGAAGATTAAAGGAAAAAAACAATAAATATCAACTTTAATTGGGGATATGGGCTCAGGGTAAGAAAAGTAGTTCTTGATCTACTGAGTCTCAGTAATTTGATGGTCTCTTCAGAATCACTTCTTGCAGCATCATTCATCTGTCAGCCTAATGTTGTCTATGGCAGTAGCTCTTCTCCAAAATAAGAGAACCCTTTAAATTCTTCTTGATTGATTTGTTTTATAATTGTCTCATCCACTAGCGTTAATACTGGTTCTTCTCGTGTAAAGTCTTGATCAAAGTTATTTACATCCCTTTTGGTTTTCTGAGAAGAAAAATACAAATAAAGTGAATGGTACAACAGCACGGTAAAATAAGAGGTGCTCTCCCTCCTGTCCATCCCCCCCCCGCAAGGCTGAATTTTCTGGAATGATTGAAATAAAAGAGGAGCTACTTCACACAAAGAATAACAGACGTATGAGAGAAGCTACAGGAGCAAATACTATAAATGAGTTCAGGAGAGGCCACAGCAGCAGTACTATAAATGAGTTCCCAGAGACTCACGGGTCTCTGACAGGCGAAGGAATAGCAGTATGATGGTAAAGCAGGAAGCTGAGATTAGGACTAGTTTAAAAAAAGGCTTTGGCATAGTAGGTGGTACAGCTGTTTCCTCTTAGATTTGAACATAATGATATCTCATTTCAGAGGCACAGAGTGAGCTGATTTAATTGACTTCCCCACAATATAGCCTACTGTTTCAACTCTAAGTTAACTGTTTCTTTATATCTGGCTACACTCAGCTTTAAAATCAGATGTAGACCTCGTAAGAGCTCTCAGTCCAAAATCTTTGAGCTCCACATTGGCAGCTCAGATTTCCTAATGCAGCCAGATGTCATTCAGAGCATCACGGCAAAGTGTGAAATTCTTGCTCTAGAGAAATCCACCTCAGAACCCTTCTTTATTTCAACGGCATCAGGATTTCCCCATTGAAGTCTGAAGCACCTCGCTCCTTCAATGAAGCTGGGCCAAAAAAGTGCAACTGTACACATTGTGGTTGGGATAAGACATATGAACTAGAGACAGCCTTAGGGAGGCCAACTTGTTGTCCTCAGGGCACTCAGGACAGTGACTATCTGTGTCCACTTACACGTAAAAAACCTCTTAAGGCTACAGGGGGAAACACTGTCCATTGCCATTCACGTTTTCCATATTAGCAGCATATTTCAGGCATGTACAGGTTCGGGGAATTGGAATGAGCATTTTTCTTTACATGGTCTCTTTTCTCTTTGTTTCATGAAATCTAATAGTTACCGGAGCAATACTTAATGGAGGCACACTGACACATTGAAAACGACCTTTGTGTCCATCCTGCACACACCTGAGATTACAATGATACCAGAAATAGATTAGTTATTTGACTTGCAGTAAAATGATAAAATCAAAGTGGTATATCATAAAGTGTATTAATGTATTCCAAAAGGGATATATGCCTTCTTTCAATGTAGGTAAATTTTCCTATAAAATACATATAAACATGTATTTTCTTCATCAGCTCTACTGAGGCACTAAAACAGTTTTCTTTTTTGCAGTTGTAAAATGTTCATAGCAACCTTCACCTACATTGTTTGTATGAACTTTATAGATATAGGAGAAAAAAAGGTCTACATAAATGCAAGAGATGATTGTCACTTGTAAACCAAGTACTTTCTAAGCGCAGGCAACCAAAAATCCACATCCTCTATCTACAAAACTCCATTAAAAGGAAAGGAATAAGGACTTAAACACATATATATGTTTATATTGTTTATATTTATAGTATTTACTTCGTATGTGAAGACTGGACATAAAGCGTATGTGACCTGTATACTCTGAACTGCGTAAAGCGCGAGGGACATAGCTTTGGGCTTTATGTTTTTTCCCAGTCATTTTGACAAATACTGCAAAATAAGAATGAAATTCCATATGATTTTTTAAATGCATTACATTGCAACTACGTCTACATTCTTCTTGCTCCCCATGTCCCACTGTACTATTTTCACACACTTATACAATGAATTTGCCACAGGACTAGTCACTAAAGCAGGAGGAGGTAACTGAATATTTGTAGAAAATAGAATTCAAAATCAGAACTATAGTTATGTGCAAGAGAAACATTACTACACTCACTCTTTAACCACTAGTTATCCAGGGCAAATAAGCTCTGGGCTAGTTGAGAACAAATACAATATACTTTATTTTCAGGTTTTCATACTGAATGTCTTTGTGAAAAGTCTTATCTCCTTGCTGAAGCTAAAAGAGTAAGATGACAAATTCCTCAAAGTCTATCAGGGGCAATTAATTCCCAATAGCTACTTTTTCCAGAAAACCATAATGAAGATTCCTGAAGGTGTTAGGTGAAAAAGAGTGCAGATGAGTACATCTGAAAAACTGTCCCAACACCGGTGGTACCTAAATCCTATTGATTAAACATAATTGTACTTCCAGTAGAACTTTGAATCTCAAACACTTCTGAAACAACAACCAAAGGTATTTGCTTAGATTTAAAAGCCCAGCATGTCTTAAAATAGGTCTTAAAATATTTTTTTTTTTTAAAAAAGCATGTCTTTGCCTTCAAGACCAAAGAAGGAAATAGAAGGTTTTACTTTCTCAGATCTATAAACAATTCCGTGTCTTTTTGGCAGCACAGATGTAAATCAGCCAATTTATTAACAGGACAAGTATGAAGCAATCTAAGATTGTAAGGATATGCTAGCAAGCCTCTAACTAACCAATTGATGAAGTGAGATTAATCAAATCACAGAGAACTCGGAGAGAACAAAAGTGAGCGGATTAAGCCATACAAGACAAAAGGTAGAGTTCTTAACAAGTGCTTCTTTTCAACAGAAAGATTTATTTGAGAAACCCTCCTTAGCAACTTAGGCACTTTCTTCCTGAAGCGATGACTATTTTGCAAGGCCCCATCTGCTAAGACAAAACAGGTATTGCCACATTTCTGCTACTATTGCTATTTTAATGTACTTGAACTGTGAACACTCTACAGGCCAACAGCATGAGCCAATATATAGTTGCAGCATGAGGGCTCAAGATGAAGGTATGAAGGACTGTGACTGTCTCCTAGCAGAGAAGCTGAGAAAAGAAAGATCTGCAAGGTAAGGAGCGTGTATGAAGGAAACAGGGTGTGGCTATTATCCAATGCTGAACATAAAAAAAGTCATAAAGAAAAAAGGAAAAATCTTTAGATCGGCTGGCAAATGCATCATTGAAAGTGCAGTAATTAAATGGGTGGGATTCTGTTCATTTGGCCTGCAGCTCCTGAGACTTTGGGATACATTATTTTTAACTTCTCAAACTTTTTTCCAGGTAAGACTTCTCAATTTCAGCTGACTGAAGACACTAGGTTTATTAGGAAAAAAAGAACCCCCAAAACCACAGCTGTCCACCCAAACACACAGAAATTTTACTAGGTTTCAGATGCTATTTTTTTTCTCTCTCTAGAATACCCAAACATCTTGTGTTCAGCATGCATCAGTGCTACAGGAGAGCAGGGGCACAGCAGCTACCCAAGAGCTCCCAACAACAGGCGCCAAATTCTGCACTGCACTGAAACTGCTCTACTGCAAGCAGCATGCAGGCAGCCTGTCTCCATCTGGCAAAGAGCAGAAGCAGCGCTGTGGCACTTCCAATGACTAGAAATGACACGACTCCAATTCTAAACCTCATATGAAAAATGGCTTCTCCACCAGCACGGTATCTCTGACAGTGAGAAGCAATAGTGACTCTCTACCTCTCATGCAGGACACATGCCAGCTAGTCGATCTTGTAGTTTTTCCAGCAGTGTGAATGCTTTGAGGGTCTCCCATCTGAGCACCGAGCTAGTGTGACCTGTTTATCCTGGGAGACATGGTGGACCTGCTTCCTGTGGGTGATATGATCTGAGTAGATGTAATACTTATGCTACAGAAATAGAACCCCTTGAATTAATAAATATTAGCATGACCTGCTACCCATCAAGGATGACAATTTTTAAGTCAAAGTCATGTTTTATTCTATTCAAAGATGACCGTTTCTGTTCAAAGAGCTACAGATATTGGAAATTTTAAAAGACTATCTCTTCATAAAACACCCTTTGATCAGCTTTCCTAGTTGGCCTGTACAACTTTGGACAAAGGAATATTGTTTTATGAGTCAAAATGCTTTTCTTCTTAAATCTCTTCACAAAATTACTAAAATTAATTGAAGGAACTTCAATTAATAAGCACACATTAAACAGTGGTTGTCTTAACTGGTTTTATTTTCACTACCATTTCAATGAAAACTTAATTTTCTACCTGCATTCACAGACTCAAGCTTAAAAAAAAAAAAAGCTCCAAAACGTGCCTAAGCTTTCCAGTGTCAAGGATTATGAACCTTGTCTGTTAACGATTACTAAATGACATTATATGAATTGCACCATTGAGAAATGAAATCTAAGTTGATGTTCTTATTACTGAAAATACGTTAAGAAAGTTAGAACTTGCCATTCCTTCTCATTCATCACATGAACCAAATGTGAATGACAGGAGCCTCTGGTATTGAAAAGCCACAGAAATCCTTGCAAGAAGTCCCCTGACCAGGGAACTCAGCAAAGCTTGGGTACCTCATCATCTGTGTCAGGAGGCCAAGAGACTTTGTGGACTCTCTTCTGCCTAACAAGGATTAAATTAATTTTCCGTCTTGGAAGCATTAAGATGCCTCTGTCTCTAGTCCATTATTGATTTTCATTTAATTTGCAGAAAATCACCAAAACGCAAGTCCTTTGCAAGCTCAGTATCTCCACTAAATTGGGCTGGAATTGTGCAGCAGGTTCACAGGCTACTCAGAGGAGGTGAAAGAATGATGGAGGTAGTGTCTAGAAAACAACACTGCCACAAAAGCCTAGGTTTTGTCTTTAGTCTGATTTTCTTACAAATTCACAATATGCTGTTTAAATATAACTGCAGGAATCCTCTTTAAATCAATTAATAGATTTCTGTTTTCTTTAGTAGAATGAGGAGCTAATCCAGAACAGACAGCCAATACAAATGAGGTCAGAAATGATCATTATAACAAAGAACCAGTATGTTGGAAGAAAAAATTATTGTGCTATGATACTTTTCAGTAAGTGGACCTTTTGACACAAAATATATACAAAGCTTATTCATGATTTTCACAGAAATGCAGATGCAGACTGACCTTTCTATATCACCGAATGAAACATCTTTAACTTTACTCCACTGCAATTTTCTGTTAATAGCAGTGCTTGATGCTTCTTCATATATTTTCAGTCCCACAGTGAAATTCTGGAGT